GACAACATTGAGGAAGTCCAGATGCTTGACACGCTTCAAAAAAGAAGACTCCCAAGCAGGGGCGGGCTGACCATTCAAGCACTCGGGCACTGTCCGAGGGCCCGGGGTCAGTAGGGGGCCCCATGAAATGCCCCTGGTACCTTTTTTATAGGCTTTTTTGGGTGTGCTTTGAGTGTGGGCAAGGACACAGGGGCCCCATGATCCCCTATTGCCCAGGGGCCCCATGAGTTGTCAGTCCACCCCTGCTTCCAAGACACATTCCAGAAGTGTCAGGAACACTGGGAGCGCTGTATTGCTGTGCAAAGGGACTATATTGAAGGTGATAGCATGTAAACAGAGATAAATAAAGTACTTTCTTATTAACAGAGCTAGTCTCAAAACTTTCTGATACCACCTGGTCTGTCAGTAAAGAGCAAGATTCAGCTGTTGTCTGGTAGCTGCACTCATGATTGTCTTTGCAATAAATAAATGGTTCTCCAAGATCTATTGCTTGAGGACTCCTTTAAACCAAGCCACAGATGTAGAGGACCTTGTCTACTAAAGAACATTTTAGATTGTAAAAATCGATCTTTTTGTGTTCAAAGTAATATAAGTATTATTAAATTATTTTATGAACCTTAATACTTTGCAGATCTCTATAGGCAAGCAATGGTATTGTAGAAATATTGAGTTGCTTTTATGTGGAGCAATCAGAGACGTAATCCAAGATCCAAGCTGGTCGTTATTCCTATTTCTGGCTCCACATTTTAGGCTTTTTTTTAAAATGTAGAACAGCTCATCAGCAGCTTTAAAAAGAACAACAACTCCCAGTTGGAGTTTCTTTATTACAGGTGAATCAATTTTCATGTAGTCTGTAATTTTTTTCTGGTTTATTCTTGAAGATTTCAAGATTACAGTTTTAGCAAGAACCTAGTTTCGTCCACAGTTTCGCTATAGCATTCTTCATTGTTTCTATCCTGTCACTCATCAAGCATGCCTTCATGCATACAGCTTTTCACTCACATTTATCAAGCTGTTGAGATTCATGACAGCTTTCATTGCATGTGTGACAAATCACTTTACTCGGTATTTTGACTTCTATTCTTCCTGTTACTCACACTTTTGTCTTCACTATGCAGTAAGTTCCATCGCTAATTGATGGAAAATCTGTTTCTGTGACATGATTTGGGCTTTACATCCCGGTCACACCGATCTCGACTTTGAAATCATACGACTTACAGCGAAGTTGCACGATTTCAAAGTCAGACGACATGCCGATTTGAGACGCGATTTGAAGGACATCTGACATTGACCAAGTCTGAACCGCACTGATATAACCACTCTAATTACGGACAATAGGGTGCAACTTGGCATTTGCAAGGCACATGGCATGCAAATCGCACACCAATTCACATCCAGTGTGGCCTGGGACTTAGGGCTCATTTACACAGATGCTGAGACCCATCCGCCATGCTGAGCTGCTTTTTGTTATGTGGGCATCCGCCTTGGAACTGCATACAGGCAGCCCATAGAAGTGAATGGCATGCAGCGGCTGCACGGACACAGTCATATGTCAAAAGTTGACATGTGGGCAGGAGCAGGGGCGGACTGACAACTCATGGGGCCCCGGGCAATAGCGGATCATGGGGCCCCCTGTGTCCTTGGCCAAACTCAAAAAAGCCTATGAAAAAGCTACCAGGGGCATCTCATGGGGCCCCCTACTGACCCTGAGCCCTCGGGCAGTGCCCGAGTTCCAAATGGTCAGTCCGTCCCTGGGCAGGAGCACTTACACAGATCCGAATACAGATATCCGCATGACATACATACAGACCTCTCCCCTGTCAGTGTTCTGCGGCAATCACGGAATCTCCAGCCAGGACCCGGTGATCGACAGCCGAAGCTGCCAATGGTATATATACGTGATTTTACACAGCCCTGCCGCCCCGTAGCAGTATTTGTGCTATAGGGTGGTGGGGAAGCGGTTAATATCTCCTAAGCATGCACCATTAAGGAGATATTCTAGTTAGCGGCAGCCTGTGACACCTCCGGCACATGTGCTCTGAAGGAACGGCACACCTGTGCTGTTCCTCTAGAGTTGTGTGCTGTGGTCATAGCATGAAGATGGAAGCCTCTGCAGTGTTGAAAATGCTCAGCTGGAGGGCTTCATTCTCAGGTAAGTCTTTCCTAATGTGCTAGTATGTGATGCATAGTTGCACATTATGACATTACCTTACAGGGGAAAATCTTCTTTTTTTTTATGTTTACTACCACTTTAAACTATTACAAAAAATTTTTGCAAATAGATGAACAGTAGCAGGAAATTTACAAAAACAAACAATTGGTGTAGAGAGCAACCTCTCCTAAAGCTAATACTTGGGGCAATCCTAACTATGGAGATTTACATGACAGTTCAGTACTTTGTAGTATAACATCTCTCTTCTGTCAGCCAGTTTGTTGGGGCCCATGTGCTATGTTGGAGCTCTCAGGATAATGCACCTTTAAGCACTGATAAAGGCACTAACTCTGTGATAACTGCAGGCAACACTGTTCCTCTTTTGTCAAAGTGTAGTAGGGTTTTGGCCAGCAGCCTCTAACCAACTCCTGTGGTAATAGGTGATCTCCATTTGTTTACTGTTGGCAGCACAAGCAGTCAGTGTTTGCAGCATCCTTCCTATTGTTCAGGCAGTAGGCTCCGTTAGCATCCGTGGCTTCTTCTGGGCCATGCTAGGCACCTAAAACAAGGTCTGGTTCCTACACATGGGGTACCTTTACTTTGCGATGCATCCTGGCATTGCAACAAGGGTGAGTCCACCATGGGGGAGATTTGACCTTAAGGCAGACCTCCACCATCAGAGATGAGCTATGCACCATGTACACTTGCACAACCGTTTCCTAGTTAATTCTCGGGTTCCCATGCTTGTGTACATTTCCCTACATAGCTTGCAATTTGGCATGATGAACACCAACCATAGCTACCCGCCGTTTACGTGAATGGAACCCCACCATGCTCATAGCGTGGGCTCCACCGTGCACATAATCTGAACTCTTGACTTTCCATACCTCTGTGCAAGATGGGGATCTCTGCTTAGCATTTCTGCTCAGGTTGCTCTTGGAAATGGAATGCAGCATAGGGAGCGCCAACATCATCTACCTCGAAGCTGGAGGCTAATCCAACTACAACAGGTGCATGCTGTAGACAGACTGCTTGCTAACTTGTACTCTCAGTTGTTAATAGCGACCACATGTATAACTTGCTTTAGGGTGACTTTAGCGGGTTTACAAAATTTCACATGCTTTACTTTAAGCAAAGTGCAGAACATTTCACAGTTCAAAGCACGTTAAACACAGTCTTATTTCCTATTCCCTAAAACCTAATCAGGCTAAGTGCTGCCCTGGCGTACCTTCAGAGGGGAATTCCATGTCTCTGACGTTTGACGTATGGCAGGCACCAGCAGCTGGCATCTTCAGGGATAAATCCCTCTAATCCCCCGCCAAAACCAGGAACCAGGAAAACAAGTTAGCTCATAACTTCCCGTTCGGGCTGCACCTAAGTTCTAACCTGCTTGCAAATGCACAGTCCTACCTTGCATAAAAATGTACCTATTGCTCCTCCAAGTCTGTTCAAGTTCCCAGATCAACAAGTTTTTTCACCCCTTCCAGCTCAAAGCCTGTGGATAAATCCACCACTTCATGAAGGTCCACCTCCACCAGTTCTATAAAAGGTGGGGGGACACTTGATGGCTTTTGAATAGGTGTCTGCTTTGTCTGTTCTTTTTCAATGTCCTCTTGCTAACATTTCACTGATTCGTAATTTCATACACTGGGCTGCACACTTTCCTCTCCCCATTAGGCTTCCACTCCATTCTTATGTAGCACCCTTCTTGGTAGCTAGGGGGAGCTAAGTTAATTTGTTTTTAGAAAGAAGCTGAATAGCAGCTGGGAGAATTAGTCAGAGGGGTCAAATTTTGCTCAGGGTTGAGTGACTCTGCAGACTTCCCCCCGATCTATAGACTGGAAGAAGTCACTAGAATTCAGTGGGTGAGGGTAAGGAGAAGCTGGTCTGCACTCTCAAGGGATCCTGGCCAATTCCCAAGCAGGAGGCTTGGCATGGGGTCAGGACAGCCCTTAAGAGTGACCAAGCCTGCTCAGTAGCAGGAGAGTTCGGGTGGAAGATGGAGTGAGCAGGATGGTGTGTGGAGCCTGGGAGGGGTCCCGGGAGAGAGGCCTACCTACAGGTGGATGAGCTAGAAGGGAGGATCTCTCAGCCTCATCGTCCCAAGAGAGGACAGCCTGGGAAACAGGGAAGGAGCCAGCCAAGTGTAAGGCCTGAAGGCAGCCACCAACCCAAAAGCTTGCAGGAATGACTAAGTGAGTAAGCCCACACCCCTGGGCCAGATAAGGAGAAATGGTATTCAAGTGGGAAACCCGACTAGCTCTCATCTGGGACTGCTTTCATCTAAGATGGCAGTTTCTGGGTCCTCCTGCCCAGGGATTCCCTGAGGCAGCTGGGTTATAAGGAGATTTTATTTGGGGTCTGCGATGGTACACAAGGAGAGGCTGGATAGCTTTCCAAGAAGAGAAAACCCTTCTGAGTACTTGTACATAGTTCCAGGAAGATGTCCTCAATTTTACAGTTCCTTGGGCATCCCATGTATTCCTCATCCCCAGCCAAGTTTCAGTCCCCTAATAAAATCCAAAAAAACAAGTTCAAGGACTGTTTACTGTCTCTGGAGTACAAGGCTGGAGGGAAAAGCGTGCTGCCTGGCTGTGCAGGACCATAGAGGGACCCAAATCTCTAGCGACTCCTAAGGGGGTAGTGCTACACTTAGGATTCCTGTTCTTACAGCCTCATTGCTGTATATCTGCAGTGTGAGATCTAAGGTACTGCTGGTTCTGTCTGCTAGTCCCAATGGATTTTAAAGAGGATCTTCACCCTAGAAAGAAAAAAAATAAAATTCAGCAGCTACAAAAACTGTAGCTGCTGACTTTTAAAATACAGCCACTTACCTGTCCCTCGGTCCAGCGGTATCCACCCCACCGCTGGTTTCACCGGCCCTCTTCTCTCCCTGGCACTGGCATCTTTAGTGTGGGCACCCGGCTGTGACAGCTTGCGGCTTCACAGCCAGGTGCCCACTGCGCATGCGCAAGAAGTGCTGCGCTTTGTGAATGGTCCCGTAGTCTTCGGGGACCTGTCACGTGTCCCAGAAGACTATGGGGAGGGAGGGGGGGGGGACAACTTCCACTTCAGATCGCCTAGGAAGTGGGATTAAGTACCTGTCAAATTCAGGTACCCTCTCCCCCCCCCCTCTGGGGAGCGGGGGACAAAGCATTAAAGCGGAACTTCCTCTTTTGGGTGGAACTGCATTTTAAAGTAGAACTAGAGCCAATTTTTTTTTTCATTTTGTATAGCATAAGGGAGGGTTATAACCCCTGTAAGATTTATTTTCGCCATCTGTGGTACAATGGGGAGATTTTCCTCCACTTTCTGTCCCACAGCCAAACAGGAAATTTCTTTTCTGGGGACAACCCAAAATTTGGAATTTTTTTTTACTTTCACTCTTAATGATAATGGTAAACAGGACAAATAGAGAGGGTAAAACTCCCTAACGGGGGCACAGACAGAAATAAAAACCTGACAGATGTTCTAATCCCTCTCCACTCTATCCTAAACTAAAACAAAGTTTGCCTTTATTTACACTTTAAGCCTAAATTCACATATTCACATGTATGCAGATTATGGATTTTTTTTGCTTTTTTTTTTTGCCAACAGGAAAATATTGACTTTGATTCAACTTTGATGTGACTTTGGATGTGTGAGACTTTGATATGACTTTTTTCTTTTTTTTCTTTGCTAATAGGAAAGTATGACAGCTCTGTTCATTTAGCACAACTTTACACTCTCTGACACTCATAGTAAAATCAATGATGCATCAAAATGGTACTACATGAACAAAACTATCATACTTTCCTATCAGCAAAAAAGAAAAGTCGCACCAAAGTGGCATCAAAGTAGCACCCAACCAAAGTGGCATCAAAGTTGCATCACCGTTGCATCAAAGTCCATACTGTCCTATTGGCAAAAAAAAGGAAAACGCATAAAAAACACTTGCGTTTTCGGTGCGGATCCATTGACATCTATTACACGCAAAATGCAAACTGCTGTGGGAAAAAAAAAGTCCCTGACCCTTTCCAAAAAATAGATCGGCTCAAAGCACACAGATGTGAACTAGATTCATGGGAAATCATGTTAAATGAGCACTGATAGGCGGCACTGATGGGCAGCAGTGTTTGGCACTGCTGGGCGGCACTGACTGGCATCACTGCTGGGCACTGATGGGTGGCACTGGTGGGCACTGATGGGTGGCACTGCCGGGCACCACTGATGGTGAGCATTGCTTGGCACTGGTAGGTGGCACTGCTGGGCACTGATGGGTGGCACTGCCGGGCAGCACTGATGGTGAGCACTGCTGGGCACTGGTGCGTGGCACTGCTGGGCGGCAATGCTGGGCACTGATCATCAGTGCCCTGATGATCAGTGCCAATCTTTCCTCACACTGTGACAGCATGAGGAAAGTGCAGCCGATAACCGCCAACTGTATTTACCTGGTGATCTGCTGTGTCCATTGGACACAGCGATCATGGAGATTGCCGCTGGGGACACGTGGGAGGGAGCATTCTGGGAGGACGTCATATGACACCCTGCAATGCAGAGCCATACAAAGCAATGTGCAGGAGCTGACAGGGGAGAGATCTGTATTGTTTACATACAGGTCTCTCTCTCGTCAGTGATACTCGGCGATCCAGTGATTAACAGCTGACACACCACCCTACCCTGAAATGCAAAATCACATATTTATATATATATATATATAATATATATATATATGTAACTGTGTGTAAGCAGGTATGATATTTATGCACTGTGTACTGTTTTTATTAGGGAATGTGTTGAGTTTTATTCCCTGCTTTGCAGGGAGATAAAAAAAAAACAGCATATTCTCACTGACAGGAGAGAAATTTGTGTTGTTTTACATTCACAGATCTCTTCTCTCCTGTCAATTGCTCCGCCGATCTCCAGGTCCTGGCCATGAATCACTGGCCGGGACTTAGTGGTTGACACATACAGGAGCCAATGACAGCATGGGTAGGCGGGCATGCAGATGCGCCACCTACTCAGAAATGTAGACTTACGTATATTTACGTGATTCTGCATAGAGCAGCTGCCCTGTACCAGTAAAGCTGCTATAGGGCGGCCAGGAATGACATTTGTTTATTTGACATACTTTAGCATGTTAAATGTCATTCAGCTTAAGATTACATGTAGTTAAAGCGGAGCTCCACCCAAAAGGGGAAGTTCCGTTTTAAACCTTTGTCCCCCGCCCCCCATTGAGGATTGGAACCTTTGGGGAGCGGGTACCCGAATTTGACAGACACCAGTTCCCACTTCCGCTGCGATCTCCTAGGTGATCGGAAATGGAAGTTGTTCCCCCTACCTCCCCGTAGTCTTCTGGGACATGTGACATGTCCCAGAAGACTACGGGGCCATTCACAAAGCGCAGCGTTTCTCGTGCATGCTCAGTGGGCTCCCGGCTGTGAAGCTGCAAGCTATCACAGCCAGGTGCCCACACTGAAGATGCCGCCGCCAGAGAGAGAAGACAGCCGGTGAAACCAGCTGTAGTGAGGACACCGCTGGACTGAGGGACAGGTAAGTGGCTGTATTTTAAAAGTCATCAGCTACGGTTTTTGTAGCTGCTGACTTTTTTTTTTCAGGTGGGACTCCGCTTTAAGTTTTGGTTTATGTGTGGGTTTATGCATTTTACTGTTTATACCATGGGGGGGATTTACTAAAAAAAATATGGTTATGTTGGATGAAGGAGAAGCCTGCAGCTTCTTTGCACCAGTGATGATCTAGCCTGGACATGGTTTAAAATTCGTTCTCATCACCCTTTTTTCTGTCTTTTGCTAGCTATGCATTCATTGAAACTCGTTTCATGTCAAACTGAAGCAAAAAAAAAGAAATGATGCAATCTTTGTAGAAAAAGCTTTACAACCTCTGAAAAACAGAAGCTCCCACAACTCAAATTGACCTCTTGCTTCAACTGGGAAACCCCCTTTTCTCTAAGGTAGTCAGGATAGAAGAAGAGCCCTCCCTCTATTGTATCACCGCAGACCATAAAGTATTTAAGATTGATCATTTGTGCTGACAACATAGAACACCCCAGGCAGCAAGAGATCTACAAGTCAGGTAAGATATTTCACTTCCGTATAACAGGGAGGTGTGTTCAGGTACAGGACGGCATTGCTGATCTTCTTACTTCCTTGGCTTCGGAGAAGGGAGCGCGCCATTCCTGTTAGTCATCATATATTGTCTTCCTGCCAATTCATTTACTTGGTATGTGGCTTACTGCCTAGGATCTTTAGGTTAACTGCTTATGTGTGGTTTTTTTTCATGTTGTTTGCTGATGCACATTTTATTGCAGTGTATGTGTGTGTAGCCTGGATACTGTATGTCCCAAGTGAGATAAGGAGTACACGTGCTGCAAGAAGTAAAGCTGATTGTGTCTTCAAATAATTTAATTTTGGGGAAAAACAGTAGTATTGGTTTGCAGGCATGACAATAATATGTGGAGAGTTATATAATACCCCCACAAATGTTATATAATACCCCCACAAATGTACATTTTTTTATAGATCCTCTGCTGTCCCCCTAATACAGGTGGGGCTGTCTTAACCATAAGGGCCCTTGTGGGCAGATCCGGGACAAGGGGTGGGCAGATCCGGGACAAGGGGTGGGCAGATCCGAGACAAGGGGTGGGCAGATCTGAGACAAGGGGTGGGCAGATCCGGGACAAGGGGTGGGCAGATCCGGGACAAGGGGTGGGCAGATCCGAGACAAGGGGTGGGCAGATCCGGGACAAAGGGTGGGCAGATCCGAGACAAGGGGTGGGCAGATCCGAGACAAGGGTGGGCAGATCCGGGACAAAGGGTGGGCAGATCCGAGACAAGGGGTGGGCAGATCCGGGACAAGGGGTGGGCAGATCGAGACAAGGGGTGGGCAGATCCGGGACAAGGGGTGGGCAGATCCGAGACAAGGGGGTGGGCAGATCCGGGACAAGGGGTGGGCAGATCCGGGACAAGGGGTGGGCAGATCCGAGACAAAGGGTGGGCAGATCCGGGACAAGGGGTGGGCAGATCCGGGACAAGGGGTGGGCAGATCCGAGACAAGGGGTGGGCAGATCCGAGGCATGGGGTGGGCAGATCCGGGACAAGGGGTGAGCAGGAGGAGAAGCTGCCGTAGGCACTCTGGTATCATGTAAAGGGGGGGGGGGCACCACGAGAAGATTGGGCTAGGAGATTTGTTTTGGAAGTTGGAATACGGGGAGCGGCAGGGGTTAAGAATTGTTCTGGGGGGGGGATTTGGGGAGTGGTGATTAGATTGTAAGCTCCATGAGCAGGCCCTCCTATTCCTTCTGTACTGAACAGTATTGTAATTGTACGGTCTCCCTTATACTGTAAAGCGCTGAGCAAACTGTTGGCGCTATATAAATCCTGTATAATAATAATAATTTGGGGGGGTTTGTGTTGGGGGGGTGGGGGAAAAGGATTTGTGCTAGGAGCGGGGATTTGGGGGGTTTCTGATAGAAAAGGTAATGGTAGAGAGGAAGGAGATTTGTGCTAGATGGGGAATTATTTTTTTTGGGAGGGGTTGTGCTAGGATGGGGAATTGGGGGAGGGGGATATGTGCAGGGAGGGGGGATTTGGAGTGGGGGGAAGAGGAGTTGTGGTGGCAAAGGATTTGTGCTAGGTGGGGGAAATTTTTTTGGGGGGGAGGGGGGGGTTGTGATGGGGCATATGGGGAGAGAGAGAATTTGAGCTGGGGGGTCCGGGGGCAAAGATTTGTGTCGGAAGGGGAGTTTTCAGTAGGGGGCCAGATTTGTATTGGGAGGAGGGGGAATTTATGTGTAGGGGCTAAGCATGCAGATTAATGGTCAATTTGATTTTTGGGATGGGTCTTTCTTTTTGCTGACATGTAATGCTCACACATCTTGGGGGGGGGGGGCTAATTTGGCATGTTCACCCTGGGCTCTAGCAGACCTTGTTCTGGCACTGCTTGTGGGCCAGTGACTAGGGCAGCAAGGTTAAAGGGGGCAGCACCAAACCTAAACATTTAGAAAGTGAAATAACCTCTTACTTGTTTTCTTTCCTTCTTCTGTCCACCTCTGGAGTCCACACATAGATGCACTTACTGACTTATGAGATACTCATGCTATAGGCAGCGAAAGGAAAGCCATATACACATAGATTATACAATGCAGATGGATCAATCTCCCGCTGTGCAGTTAATGTATTGGAACAGATGACAATTTTGCACCCATCCCCTTCAATTTATTAATCAAGGGATGTCAGGTGGATACAGTAGGTGCCCAAAAGGTCCATCCACAAAGCAAATTTTTGCAGGTTCATCAGGAAGAAACAGAAATTAGCTCAGTGTATGGCCACCATAAAGGAGGCAAAGTGCTCTATGTAAGTTCAAATAGTTCTAAAGTCAAATGCTTTTTCTGTAATGCATTCCTTGCATTAAACGCCAGTTCACATTACATGCATTTCAATTGTTTTTTTTCTGCATCCAAAATGCACAGAAAGTAAGTTATACAGTTGTCAATGTCATAGTTCACATCAGTGGTTGGGTTGCAGAAAAAAAAGTAGAACAGGCTGCATTTTTCCTGCACAGAAGTGTACTGGAACACGGTAAAACACAAAAAAATGCACTGGAACGCACCAAAACGCATAAAAAATGCATTGGAATGCACATGTCCCTATTTAAATTGGAAAAAAAGAGTAACGGAAAAAATGAACTGGAACGCATAAAAAACGCACTGGAATGCATCAAAAACACATTGGAATGCGTCAAAAACGCACATCTGGAACGCATCTGGACTGTGTTTCTATAGTGTGAACCAGCCCTAAAGTAAAAACACCCCACTACCTGTTCTGCCCACCCCATCCCTAAACACTTGGCTCCTGTCACCTTTCCAGCACTGTCTTTCGGATGCAGAACCACTCCCCTCACTGACACTGACAGCAGCAAAAGCCTCAGGCTGCTGTCAGTGAAACTCCTGTAAGGAGGGATCGGGGGCGTGTCTTACTGGCGCAGTGTGGGTTTATGGATACACACAGCCCGGCTCAGGAACACATGTGCACAGGTGCCTCCTTGGCACCCGGCTTGCTAAGGAGGCACCCGGAAGAAGGAAGACCGGACAACTTCAGTGGGGGGGGGGGCTTCTGGAAGAGGAGGTAAGGGACTGTTTTGTGTAATATTGTTGAGCAGGTAAGTATAATCTCTTCTTTATTTTAACAAGACAAAAATGTTATCCCTATGTGGCTATCTTTTCAAGGGAAGCTTGAACCGGAGCGAAGAAAGTGGATCAGCAGCTCTAGAAATAAGGAACTTGTGGCAAGCAAAGTCTCAGCTGATGCAGAGCTTGAAGGGGGGGGGATGAAAGTTACAAATTTTGTCCCAGCTGAGTCACGCGTTCTGTGCCTGAACATGCTCTCCTTTACTAATAATATAAGAAAAGCCAGACTGCACAAACCAAAACTAAAACGGTTAGATAATATAGCTTCTAGAGCCCTTCATTTATTTACTTTTCCAGCCACGTGTGCTGCGTGGTCAGACACGCCTTAGTTAGCTATCACACATTATACCGGACCATATCTTCTACTGGGTATTTCTGTGTTTGTGATACAAGTGTGCTCTATCATTATGGGATTTGATGTGCCAAACAGACAGTTAAGCTGCATCCTAACTGTGGTATGATTTTCATTTGTATGTCAGAAAACGAGCAAACAGCTGATTGTCTGTTATGATCAACAGATATTTAATTCCCATAACTAGTTCCTGTCAGCCCCAATTCTGACATTTCTCTTATACCCGGAAAATGTTTTTTTTTTGTCAGAAAATTACTTAAAACCACCAAACATATATTTATTTTTAGGCAGAGGCCTCGGGGAATAAAATGGTTGTTGTTGCAATTTTATATACTGCATGGTATATCAAATGTAAATTTTCAGGACAAAACACAATTTTAGCGAACACAAACACAATATAATACCCAATTTTTGGTAAAAAATTAAAGATGATAGTACGCCAAGTAAATAGATACCCAACCTGTCACACTTTAAAATTGTGTACGCACGTAGAATGGCTCCAAAATATAGTACCTCTTCACGCCTCTCGGCGTCTGGGCCTTGATGTTGAGCGGCCACACATTTGCGTGCAATTAAAAAAAATGTGCTGAGAGCGCGCGCCGTGCTCGCTCCCAGCACACATGTCCAGTACTCACGGAAAGGTCCTGATCTCCTCTTGTGGTCGGGACCTTTCCCAATCATGTGACCGCTGTAACAGCGAATCACTGCGGTCACATGACCCTAAAATCCCGCCC